GAAGACCCCCACTGAGCACAAGGCAGAGAAGGCTTGCTGGCTGAGTTGAAGAGGGCAGGGAAGGTTAGAGTGGCGTAGGAAGGCTGTCTAGAGGTCTGAATAGAGTCCTCTCCCCTGCTTTACCCTCTCAAAACCCCACTCACAAAGTACACAGCTCCAAAGCTGCCATGGCCAATTTCCCGGAGGTCAGAGAAGAGCTTTTCAGGGTCATCCTTGAAGAAGAGTTCAGCTACATCTGGGTCCTTCAGGCTCCCGGCCCGGCCCCCAGCTGGCATGGCGGCCCCTGGGGCCCCTGAGAGTGGGGCCTGGCCTAGAGAATAGAGATGGGAATCTTAGAGCAAGGACGGGGCCTTCTGGAAGAGGAAGGAACCCCCTCAAGTTCCTGCTTTCTCCTCCCCTCATTCACTGATGAGGGGGAGGCACTGCTGAGGAAGGGCAAGGGGAGATTAGGAAGAACATCAAAGCTCCAAAAAAAATGAAGTTGCCCTGGCAACCAGATCACGGGGGCCGGGTCCCTGGAGTCCCTAAAACTGGTAGGAAGACTCTGGGAAGCTAAGCATCCTCTCACCACTCTCAACAAGTTTCCATTTCCCTATACCTGTTATTTTCCCTCAAAGAGAAACAGGCCTCCCTGCCAGATCCCCACATGTCCTGTCCCAAGTCCCAAACCCCACTGATTTCCATGTACCTTCCTCTTCCCCTTGATGTTGCGGCCCCCTCCTCCCTCAACCTCTCACACCCTGAAAAAGAACAGGAAACAGCCAAGCCGGAGATGGTGGAAATCCGGCCATTGTTGTAAGTGGGGACTGGCTCATGGGGGCCAAGAGACTCACTCTTAAAAAAGGGTAGAAGACACTGCAGCAAGGAGGAGTTCTAGAACAGGAAAGACAGTAATATAAATGATATCTGGCTTTGAGGGCCTCTCTGGGATCTGGATTGCCCCCCTTATCCAGTCCAACTGCTTGAGCAACACACCCAAGTACAGGCATTTACTGGGTACAAACAACATTTACTGGGCATGGATAGTAAACGCCTCACACACATCATCTCATTCAATCCTCGCCATAACCTTATGAGGAAAGTATTATCATTACCCCTTTTTTACAGATTAGGAAACAGGCTCAGAAAGGTTAAGGGACTTGCCCAAAGTTGGTCTACCACCACCACCACCACCACCACCACCACCACCACCAGGCTTTCAGAACAGCCCTATGAAACCAGCAGGGCAGGATCAAGATCACCATTTCCCAGGTGAAGTCACTGAGGCACAGAGGAAAAAAGAATTCTCCAAGGTCAGAGAATAGGACCTTCTCCTCTTATCAGGCCTGCATGCTCAATATTTTCTCAGCTTGCCACTCCAAGCTCAGCCACCCTCCTGCAGGAAGCCTCCACTGACCAGCTTTTGGGGAAAGTTCCCAGAATACTCAAACACCCAAAGAGAATTCCTGGAGGGCATTAGAACCAGGACCKTAGAGGGGCTTCTAGGGGAAGTTCCTAGCTAAACACTTATCAGGATTTAGGCACAAAGAAGCCTTCATCAGAGCTGGACTCCCAGGGCAGAATTTTAGTTACTTAAAAGCACCCAACAATTTAGCATGTAATTATATTCTGTCATGCATTGTTTCCTGTTGTGTTGTTAATTTTGTCTCCTCAGCCCAACTGGAAGCTGGAGGGCAAGGAGGGAGCCTGACTCTCCAGTGAGCCCCCAGGGTGCTGAGGGCTCAGAATAGCCTGGGAGATTGATTGATTGCCCTCAGCCCAGCCCTCAGCAGCTTCCAGGCTGCTCAAAGCAGGCCCCCTTCTTCCTTCTGCCAGCAATGGTGCCAAGCATCTCTCACCCCACCGCACACCCACACGCAAAGGCAGGTGCTCACAACTTGCCAAGGGAATCTTCCTGACCTCTTTACCAGCACTGAGCCCAAGACTGACAATCCAAAACCCCAGGCCACACGAAAGGGGTGCCAGCCATTGGCAAAACATCACACAGGTCCTCTTCCTCACAATAACAAACATTTGAGCAATCATCAAGATCTGTGCTAAATCACAACCACCCTTTATCTCTGCCCTGCAGACAAGGAACCCCAAATCTGCCTGTGTTTAAGCTGTACCACTAGCACATCCCATCTGCAATGTACAGCAACAGGGCTTTGAATAAGTTCCTAATACTTCTCGGTCTTCTCTTACATTAAATGGATTACAGCATGGGACTGTTGTGAGATTTTAATGAGATCTTATACTTAGGAACACTATGCAGACACTCAACATATGGATTTTTCCTTCTCTGCCCCCAGGGTTGCCACAAGGCTTTAATCCTTTGGGGAATTTGGCTTTAACTGTTAAGAGAAGCCACTATGGCCCTCATTTATTAGAACAGAGAGCCTTCTTAGAAATCCAAGCCAAAGACTGGGATCAGGGTAAAGATGAAGGTCACAGTAAATACAAAAATCCATAAGGCAGAGGCAGGAGCCAGAGCCTCCAATCATGCAAAGCTCCTGAGTATAGCCCTCCTGGAAAGGAAGCTCATTTCATTCCCATTTTTAAATCTCACCTCAATTCATTCTCCTATGGATCCCTGGCCAAGCCCAGGTCAGAAGAAAAGAGATAGCAAGAAACAGGTATAGATCAAGGGAGCAAGACTTGATGGAGTTCTTGGGTAAAAATCCCCATTCTGACACTATGTGACCTTGGGCAACCTCTCTGGGCCTCAATGTTCTTAACTGTAAAACGGGAAGACAGCAATAAAGGTGAATAGTGGTGGTGTCACATGAGAATGGGTGCAAAAATACTTTGTAAAGATAAACCCACTGACAAATAGATGAGATTATACCATCATAATAAGAGGTAGAAAAGAAGGTAACTGTAGCTGGGGGAGTATTGCCAAGCGCCCCCTCCCACCCACACTTCTTTGCAAGGACGAGAAACCCAACCAGACCAAGCCTGAAAAGCAGATAAGCAGACCCACCACGGGATTCAGAGGCATAGGAATCAACACCCCAGAGCAGGAAAAAGGGAATCATGGAGGAAAAGAGGTGGCTGGGAGAGGCAAAGTGAACAGGGTGAGAGGACATGAAGGCTGCAAACCCATCTGATTAGCTCAATCACCCTAGGGCGTGACCCCTGCTGACATCAAAGACCCTGTCACCCACCTGGGTTCCCCATCAACCAGGCACAATGAAGGAAAGAGGAAGTGGCAGAGGGTGGCAACAGAAGGCAAGGCTAGGCAGAGGCTGACCACTGACCAGCCAGGCTTCCCCATCCTGAGGAGAGAGCCCATCCAGGCCCAGCTTCTCAGAAAGGATCACCCTTTCTTTTCAGTGCTAGACACAGGGACCCGCGCCCCTGCACCCCATGTCTCACCTGGTAGGGGTCACTATGGTGCCCCAGCGCCTCCGCTTCCGCCTGGAGTCCTCCAGCGGCTCTGCCAAGCAGGGAGAGGGGCAAGGAGACCTCTCCCCTTGCCACCTCTTCCTCGGCTTTCGCCCTTCCTGAGGGGCGGACCCGGGAAGCCTCCCCTGGAGGGGAGGGGGTGACAACCTGATCTGACCTCGCGGTCCAGTCCTCCCCCAACTCGAGGGCGACAGTTGCTGAATCCCGGATTTGATTGTGGGGTATGAACCCCGAATATTTGCACGGGGATAAAATGAATCCGATATTTGAACACCTGGGGAATGAACCCCGAATAGTGGTGCACGCGGGGGCCTGAACCCCAAAATATTTGAAATTCTATAAAACAGAGACCCAGGTTTAAAGAGGTTGGGACTCGAGTTCAAGCTACCTGGAATATGAGAACTGATACCTGGGTATCTGAGAAGCAAGGGGCCAAGCCCGGAAATTTGGGACCCAAGGGCCTGAGCCCCAGGTCTTCGGCCACCTACAGGGGGCCCACCCCTAGGACGTCCGGCAGCACGGCCCCACTCACGCCGGGGTCCGAGAGTGACAGCCCCCACTCCCGCCCTGGACTCCTCCCTCCCCCCTCCTCTCTCCGGAGGACTACTGAAAGACTGTAGCTAAGGCGCTGATGACGGTCCCCGCGCCCTCTCTCCCTCTCCTCTTCTCCGTCTCAAGCCTCTCTCGGCACCACAGCCCCGGTCTCGTCCCGGTCTCCCTCTCCCTCTTCCTCCCAATTCCAAGATGGAGACCGGGCGGGAGCGCGCAGGCGCGGTAGGGACGCAGGGCCAGGGAGGGCGGGGTCCCAAAGAAGCAGCCCCGCCCCTCTTTCCTTAAGGCCGGTGCCCGGGAGCCAGGCAGCCACCCAGCCAGAATGCGCGCGCGCCCCGCCACGCGGACCCTGGGTGGGAGGAGGAGGGTAGCAAGGGTAGACTTGCAGGGGGAGGAGCCCAGCGCGCGGTCCGACGACTGGTGGTGGAGAAAGCTGAGGCGCATGCGTTTGCCCCGCCTTAGCTCTGTGCCTGAGCCTGTTGCTAGGGGAAGCTTTGAGGGGCGCGGGTGGAAGGAAAGAGGCCGTGATTTGCGCCTGCGTGCAGCGTAGAAGCTGGGAGGGGTAAGGGAAAGCTGCTGCTGGGAGCGGAAAAGGCGGGAAAGTGGACTGTCCAGAGGTTAGTAAGCATCCAGCCTGGACATGGGTCCCCAAGGGTGAGGAATCTTTGCATATGAATATTGGGTAAATTCTATTGGTCGAATTTCTTAAGGAAACTAAGGCACTGCAGGATTGCATGACTTACTCAAAGTCGCAGTGCGTTTATGTGATGGCATTTCCACTATCTGACCCTCCAAAAAACAGCTGTAATTATCAATTTTATTTCATGGAAGAAAGGCATAAAATGGCAGAGCTAGGATCAAAATCAGGTGTTTTCCAAAGCCAAGTCACAACCTGGAAAGAGTTGTGTATATGTTCTATGCGAACCTGTATCCCAAACTCAGGAGTCAACAGGGAAAAGTCCCTCCAAACCTCCCATGCCTGTTTACTCTAAAATTCCTACCTCAATTCCAATCCCCAATAAACACTTTAGGCCACACTGGGCAGGAAAAAAAAAAAAAAAAAAAAAGCCTTTTATTTTCTCCCAAATTCTAGCTCTTCACTTTTTGTAAAGTCTCTTCTGACTCAGAATCAAGGCCCAAGAAGTTGATTCACACCTGGAGAGAAAGGAAAATAAAACAGGACAGGTCAGAGACTCCTTAGGTGGGGTGAGTACAGACTGATGAAGGAGCAGACAGAGTGACAATCAGAGACAGACGGGTATAGACTCAATCCCACTGGGGCAGCCTCAGGACCCTAGCATCTGCCACAGGCCAGAAAGCTCTTCTTTCCCAGTTCAAGCCTGAGAAGGCTCCATCATTTCCTGTCCCAGATAGGTGTCTGGGGCAGTGAGGGTTGGCCCCAAGCACAATTTGCAAAATTGATCTTGAACTTCCAGTTCCTCTGGCTGGGCTGTTTCCACTCCTCCTACAGTCATTTCCTAAGGCACAGCAGCAGCTAGAGCTGAGAACAGTTTAAGAGCTGAATGCATTACATATGGCTCTCAAATTAAGAGACTGACCTGACAGGGTGAAGATTTCTTGCAGAAATATTTTTTTCCTTTGATGAGTTGACATGAGAACTAGTTAGCAGATATGTCCTCCACCCCCTGCTATCTTTGTAAATCTAATTCCCTCCAAATATCTTGTTAGTAGAATCAACCTTTTATAAATGCAAAGATGAATAAATGGAAGAGCGCATGTAAAATGTGTGTTCCTAGTAAATGGGCATCATTAATTAGATTCTTTTCAGATGTTCTAATCAAATTTACAAAACTTGTATTAAACTTGTATTAAAATTTTAGGACGGGAGCTGGGGCTGTAGCTCGGTGGTAGAGCACTTGCCTTGCATGTATGAGGCACTGGGTTCGATCCTCAGCACCACATATAAATAAATATTTTAAAAAAATGTTTAGGACAAGCCACGAACAGTAGAGCACACCTATAATCCCAGCAGGTTGGGAGGCTGAGGTAGGAGGATCTCTCAAAGCCAGCCTCAGCAAAAGCGAGGTGCTAAGTAGCTCAGTGAGATACTGTCTCTAAATAAAATACAAAATAGGGCTGGGGATGTGGCTTATTGGTTGAATGCCACTGAGCTCAATCCTCAGTAGTGCCCCCCACCAGAAAAAAGAATTTCAGGACAAAAGCAAGGCAAACATGCATATCCAGGAGGAATCATAAAAGATGAACCCTCTTAACTCACCATTCTTGCCAAAAATCATGGATATGAACTACAGCCATGGGTAAATCTTAAAATCAGAATGTCACTTGAAAGAAATCAGTCACCAAATAATATGTATGATTCCATCTTCAAAAATAAATAAAACCAAATCTCATGCATAGTTGGAATGCATACTTGGTGATCAGCTATAAAGCAAAATAGTACTTCCTTCTAGGGAGAAGAAGGTCATTACCAGGAAGGAAGGGACCAGAGGATAAGGGCTTCCAGGATACAGGTATTTTAAGAGTAACTACTTTATAATAATTTACCACACTGTACTTTTGAGGTTTTTGGACTTTTCTACAGGAATGTTAACTATTTTGTAATTTAAAAAAAAAGGGAAAAATAATAAAAAGGTTGCATACTTACGGTATAAATGATTCCCATTCCCTATGAGGATAGATGGAGCTTCCTGAGGACTCACACAGAGCAATATTTATGGATAGATTCCAAGGATCTGTTCTACCCCAGTTACAGTTGCCACCCCCAGCCCTCTCATATTCCCACAGGACTAGAGTAAAGAACCTCACCTGAGAACAAGGCAGGAACTAGGCCAGTGCCCTCAGAGCCGGGTTCTAGACCAGTGGGACTCCCGGCGCGGGTGGAAGCACACAGCAGTGACACAGCAGAGAAGGCCACAGAGGAGAAGCAGGAAGAAGCCCAAGACCAGCAGCCTGGAGCCACACAGAGCCAGCTCTTCCTAGGGGAGGGAGCAAAGTGGGAAGGAGAAATGATGGAGAGGGGACAATGGGAACTTGTCCCTTTGGAAGACATCTTGACCCCAGCCCAAGAGCTGTGGAGAGAAGCCCCCAAGAGGGGGAGGCCTCTCAGCACCCAGGGAGGGAGGGTTAGAGGGAAGACATTACTTTGATGCAAGTTAACATTTGTCTTGGATGGTTTACAAACTAATTTCTTGCCTAGCCACCAACCTTAACTCTCAAATTGACTCCTAGAGATAGGAAAATTCACAATTATCTACATTTGAAAGATTGCAAGCAGTGCCAGGTTCTGCTCCGCCCAGGGTCTCTTTAAGTGTGACAGCAGAGGGTACTGCAGCCATCTAAACTGTCTCCCTCCATCTCTCAGCCAGTTTCTTCTACCCAGCATTAGTGTGGGCTTCTCTCTCCTTCAGAGCCTTTACTGGCCTTTATGATGCTAGGTGTAGCATCCCAGCCTGGCTTTCACAGCCCCATCAGCCACTGTGGTCTCTCCTGCCTCTTCTAAGTCACCTAAGCCCCTCATTTTGGAGCCCCTCAGAAAACGGACCACTTTTTGATCCCTTGGAACACTGTGCTCCTGTACCTTCCCTCTCTGGAACTCTACTGTATTCTCTGTCCAAACCTTCATTCTTCTTCTTTTTTTTTTTTTGGTTCTGGGGATTGAACTCAGGGTTGCTTTACCACTGAACTACATCCCCAGCCCTTTTTATTTTTTTTATTTTGAGACAAGGGCTTGCTAAGTTGCTGAGGCTGGCCTCGAAGTTATGATCCTTTTGCCTCAGCCTCCTGAGTGGTTGTGATTACAGGCCCCCAGCCAAACTTTCATTCTTTTTTTTTTTTAAATATTTATTTTTTAGTTCTCGGCGGGCACAACATCTTTGTTTGTATGTGGTGCTGAGGATCGAACCCAGGCCGCACGCATGCCAGGTGAGCGTGCTACCGCTTGAGCCACATCCCCAGCCCCTAAACCTTCATTCTTTAAAGGTCCTGATGGAACACAACACATGGATTGCAATCCTGGCTCTGCTACTTAACTAGTTATGTGGCCTTAGGCAATTCACTCCCCCTCTTTAAACCTGTTTCCTCATCTGTAAAATGGGATAATGACACCTACCTCAAAAGGCTGTTTTAAGATCAAATGAGATAATGAACCTGAAAGCATTCTGTACATTATAAACTTTGTATATTATAAACAACTGTACACAATTGTCTTTCGTTAGTGCCACCTTCCCTGGGAACTTAGTAAATGTTGAAGTTAAATTGCTGTATACTTGGTATTTGAATAACACTCTGCTCACATTTCTATGATAGCAATTAGCCCCTTCTGCCTCTTATTACAGCTTCTGAATTCCTCTGAGATAGAGATCATGTTTTATCTTATTAAAGACAACAGTAAATAGTTGTCCTTTATCAAATCTCTATTATGTATGGGGCACTGTGCTGAGCACTTTGCTGTCATTCTCATTCAACCTTTGTTTGATAGAATGAAGATATAGTATATGGTTTTGTTTTTACAGATGGGAAGCTCAGACTCAGAGAGGTTCAGATACTTACCTAAGTCACACAGCCTCTAAGGCAGGGTTATAAAGCCTGTACTTTTTCTACTAGGTAAAATTGCCTTCTGGAACCTCGAAGACACAGCAACCCACCATTCTACAAAATCCTGAGGATGGACCTGAGGCACTTACTGAGGTGAGCAGCTTGGTGAGCACAAGGCCCTCGTGGCTCCAGACTCTGACACACTCCTCACCCATCTTAGGACTCAGGGTGGAATTTCCTGCTCCCTCTTCTGAGCAGGATATGGGTGGCTGGCTGGAGGGCAGGATTCCTGGAACAGTGCTAAAATATAGACAGGTTTCTGGAGTCCTCTCTGTGGTCACTCTCGCTGTGATGAGGATCAGCTCTCCTGCAGAAGATCCTGGGAGAGGCACAGGAGAGCAGATGGGGAAAAAGAAGCAGAGGGCAGGAGCTATCTTCAGACTTCTGTTTGTTCCTAAAGCTTCCTACAAGACCAGGAGTTTTGGCATTTATCTCWTTCAATAAAGTACTCTGAACACAATGCCATTTATATCTTTGAGAAATGAAAATGGCTGCCTATCAATATAAACACAAATTAGCTGAAATTAGTTTAAAATCAACTCAACCAACATACTACTACCTCACGAGATCGTAGTGAGACAGGCAGACCCACACTGCCCATGTCATTGTGTATAAATTAACCTGTCCTTTTTAAGAGAGCAACTCCCACTAGGTGCCAAAATTCATTAAAAGATTCACACCCGCTGGGCACAGTGGCTCATGCTTGTAATCCCAGTGACTCTGGAGACTGAGACAGGAGGATCGAAAGTCTGAGGCTGGCCTTAGCAAGAYCCTGTCTCAAAATAAAAAAATTTTTTAAAAAGGACTGGGAATGTGTGAGGCCCTGGATTTGATACTCAGCACCACATAACAATAAATAAATAAAGATTTTTAAAAAAGTTTATACTCTATTTTATTTAATCTTTTTTTTTTTTTGCAGTTGTAGATGGACAGAATGCCTTTATTTTATTTGTTTATTCGTATGTGGTGCTGAGGATCGAACCCAGTGCCTCACACATGCTAGGCAAGCAATCTGCCACTCAGTCCCAGCCCCAGCCCCTACTCTATTTTAAATTAGTGGGGAAAGGATAGCCTTTTAAGTAAATGGTTTGGGGAAAATTTCCATGTTGAAAAGAACATAGATTTAGATTGTTATCTCGCACTATAAAATAAATGCAGATATATTAAATAATCATACAAAACTAAAATAAATTTTAAGTAATTATTAAAAGAAAATACAGACTATTTCCTAATTTTAAGGAAGACCTTCCAACAAAGGACAGAAAATCTAAAATCTTTAGTAAAGGACAAGAACAATATACCCATCTTCATAAGGGCTAAGGACTTCCATACAACAAAAGATAAATTAAAAACAAAAAAATCAAGTTAACAGATTGCCTGAAAACACCTATAATGCACTTAATTAACAGAAAAGTTTACAATCTAATAGAATAAAGATGTACAAATCAAGAAGAAAAAGACAAAAAAAGTGAGGGGAATGTAAAATGGTATAGCCACTGTGGAAAAATGTATGGTAGTTTTTCAAAAAATGAAATGGGAGGTCGGCTGGGGTTGTGGCTCAGTAGTAGAGTGCTCACCTAGCATGCATGAGGCACTGGGTTTGATCCTTAGCACCACAAAAATGTAAAATAAAGGTATTGTATCCACCTAAAACTAAAAAATAAGTATTTTTTTTAAAAAATGAAACAGAAAATATGATACAAAAAAAAAAGAAAAATGAGCAAAGAATACAAACAGGTAAACCAATGACCTGAAAATGTCCAATAAACCCATTAGAAGAAACTCAACCTCACTAACAATTAGGAGAAAATAAATTAAAAGAATCATGTAATTCATTTGCCTATTAAATTAGTAAAAATTAAAAAGATGAATACAGGAATTTTTGAAGATGTGAGGAGGTAGGCACTGTCTAGATTATTATTTATCTGTGTCTATGGCAATTTAAGTGGGCTCAGAATATGTCCATCAAGTGCGGACCACTTTTACATTTGTTTTCTAGACTTCTGTATGTGCTCATCCCACAACAAAATGAGTTTTAAAAAAGCCAGCACGGGGCTGGGGTTGTAGCTCAGTGGTAGTGTATTTGCCTTGAATGTATGAGGCACTGGGTTTGATCCTCAGCACCACATAAAAATAAATAAATAAATAAGAATATTGTGTTCATCTAAAAAATCTTTTAAAAAAATTTTAAAAACCCAGCACATCTGGCTCAGGAGGCTGAGACAGGAGGATCGTAAGTTCAAAGCCAGCCTCAGCACAAGTGAGGTGCTAAGCAACTCAGTGAGACCCTGTCTCTAAATAAAATCCAAAATAGGGCTGGGGATGGGGCTCAGTGGTGTAGTGTCCCTGGGTTTAATCCCTATACCGCCCTCGCCCCCCAAAAAAGCCAGCACCGCATCCACCTGTAATCTCAGCAGCTTGCAGGGCTGAGGCAGGAGGAGCACAAATTCAAAGCCAGCCTCAGCAACTTAGTGAGGCCCAAGCAACTTAGAGAGATCCTTTCTCTAAATAAAATATATAAAAAAAGGCTGCCTCAGAGTTTAAATGCCATTGGGTTCAATCCCCACTACCAAAAAAAAAAAAAGCAAGGGAGACATATTCTTTGACTATGTAATTCTACTTATGGAAATGCTAAGGAAAGGATTAAAACAAAAATGCAAAGCATATCAAAATATTTATTGTGATTTTATCAAGAATTAGGAAATAATAGATGTTTACTAAGGAAAGCATTAACAAATGCGGGCCTGATCATTTAATGGATCAATTTATAGTCATTATCACAATGTTGAAGATCATGTAGTATTATGAAAAACCACTTACATGTAAGTGAAAAAAGACAAACACAAATCAGTATAGACACCATAATTACCACTGAAAAATATATGTATAAAATTTGGTAAAAAACTTTTCCCCTTTCTTTACATCACCCCGATGGAATCAGTCACCAAGTCTTACCAATCCCAGATTTCTAATGTCTCTCTCAACTCACACTCTGGCTTAGCTCAGCTTTTCTCATCACTGCTTTATTGCAGTCACTTCCTAACTGGTCTTCCTGTCAGCTAACAGAGTGTGATCTTTTTTTTAAAAAAAAAAAAAAAAAAACAATAAAGTTTTACTGCTTTCCTGGTCAAAATCTTTAAGTATGCCCAATGTGCTGGATAAAGCCCCATTACCTTGGGTTGCACACAAGATCCTCCAYGGGATCTTGCCTCTGTCTTCAGACCCATCTCCTACTACTCATTCAACATTCCTTCTCCTGTATATACCAGCCAAACTGAACCTCTGGAAGTTCCTAAACATGTCATGCTGTCCTTATGTTTGCCATTTCCTCTGGCTGAACTGTATGTAACTAAGCAATCCTCAGGCTTTAGCCTAGGCACTGTATCTTTGGGAAAGTCCTTTTTTGCTATCCCTGTTCCATGGGCCCCTCAGTACTCCCACTGTACCTTATGTTCTGCCTCACATACTGAAAGGTATTTATTTCTATTCGAATCTTTATCCTTGCAAGACTGTAAGCAACTTTAGGGGAGGACCCATGTATTACAGATCTCTGAATTTCCCATGTCTGATATTAGTAAGTGCTCAATAATTGTTACATGGATGATACAATCACAGATGATTCCTCCTACCCCCGTAAAAATCTTTGTTTCTAACCATTATTAAAAGAATAGGGTATGGGGCTGGGATGTGGCTCAAGCGGTAGCGCGCTCGCCTGGCATGCGTGCGGCCCGGGTTCGATCCTCAGCACCACATACCAACAAAGATGTTGTGTCCGCCGAGAACTAAAAAATAAATGTTAAAATTCTAAAAAAAAAAAAAAAAAAAAAAAAGGGTAGGGCTGGGTTTGTAGCTCAGTGGTAGAGCATTTGCCTAGTATGTGTAAGGCCCTAGTTTCAATCTGCAGCACCACATAAAAATAAGTAAATAAAATAAAGGTATAAAAAAAAAAAGAATAGGGCTTCCTTGCAGAAACAGAAATTAACAAGCTATTCCTAAAATTCATGCGAAAACTCAGGGGATCTGGAATAGCTAAGACAATCTTGAAAAAGAAGAACTGAGTTGAAGGACTCACGTCTCCTGACTTCAAAATTTCCTATGAAGCTACAGAAATCAAAACAGTGTGGCACTAGCATAAGGACAGACATATAGATCAGTGGAATACAACAGAATCTCAAAATAAACAATGTATCCATGGTCAATTGGTCAATTTATTTTCTTTTAGTTTTCTTTTTCTTGGTTCTGGGGATTGGACCCAGGGGCACTTTACCAATAAGCTAGTTAGTTCCCAAGTCCTTTTATTTTATTTTATTTTATTTTATTTTGAGACAGGGTCTTGCCAAATTGCTGAGGCTGGCCTTGAACTCGGAATCCTCCTGCGTCAGCTTCCCAAATTGCTGGGATTACAGGCCTGCACCACCACAGTGGGCCAACTGATTTTTCAATATGGTGCCAAGACCATTCAGTGGGGCAAAAAAACAATCTTTCCAAAAAATGATGTTATACAATTAAAGATAGACACATGCAAAAACAATGAAGTTGAGCCTCATACATAAAATGAACTAAAGATGGATCATAGTCCTAAACRCAAAAATTAAAACTATAGAAGAAAATACAGGGAGCTAGGTGCAGTGGCACTGAAAACACAAAGAACTCTCATACCTCAATAATTAAGACAAATCGCCCAATTTAAAATACAGTTAAAGACTCTGAATATATATTTCTTCAAATGATACATATAAATGGCCAAAAGCATATGAAATATCATTATCAATCTTGTTAACCATCAAGAAAATGCAAATCAGAATCACACTGGTTAGGACAACTATAATAAGAAAGACAGATAATAACTAAGTATTGGTGAGGTTGTAGAGAAAATGGAAATCTCATACTGGTGGAAATATAAAATGCTATAGCTGTGTGGAAAACAGTTGGGAAGTTCCTCAAAAGATTAACCATATGTTCATATGTTCTTATGTTCTACTTGTAAGTATACACACACACACACACACACACACACACACGCAGGTAAATACTAGGGATTGAAGCTAAGGGTGCTTTACTACTAAGCTACATCCCCAATTCTTTGTGAGACAGAGTCTCAATAAGTTGCTGAGGCTGGCTTCAAACCTGCAGTCCTACTGCTTTAGTCTCCCAAGTCTCTGGGATTAGAGGCATGCACCACCATGCCCAACTCATGTTTATTTCAAGAGAAATGAGAACATGTCCACACAAAACCTACAGTGTTCATAGCAACATCATTTATATTAACCCAACCAACAAACAACCCAAATGTGAAATGATGAACACATAAATGAAAATGTGGTATAAAAATGTTGTTCAGCATAAAAAGAAATGAAATACTGATACGTGCTATAAAATGGCTGAACTTTAAAAACTTTATTCTAAGTGAAAGAAGCCAGTCACAAAAGACCATATCATATTAAGTGTCAGAATAGGCAAATCTACAGAGACAGAAAGTAGATTAGTGGTTGCTCAGGGCCGGGTGATTGGGGTGGGGGGAGAGAAGGAGAATGACTGTTAATGGGTGAACAGTCTCTGGTTGATGAAAATGTTCTAAAATGAATTGTGATAATCACACACTAGTGTGAATATATTCAAAGTCATTTAAATGTATATTTTAAGTAGGTAAATTATATGGTATGTGAATCAAATCTCAATAATGCAGTTAAGGGCTGAGGCTGTGGCTCAGGGGTAGAGCACTCGCCTCGCACGTGCGAGACCCTGGGTTCAATCCTCAGCACCACATAAAAAGAAATAAGTGAAATAAAGGTATTGTATCCAACTACAACTAAAAAATAAATAAATAAAGCAGTTAGATGTTTTTTTAAAAGTAGAAAGAATTACCAGGCATGGTGGCACACACCTATAATTCCAGCGACTTGGGGGAGCTGACGCAGAAGAATCCCAAGTTTGAAGCCAGCCTGGTTTCACTTAGTGAGACCCTGTCTCAAAATTTGAAATAAAAAGGGCTGAGGATACAGCTCAATGGTAGAGCACCCTGGTGTTCAATCCCCAGTACACACACAAAAAAAGGCAGAATAGGAAAAACTGCCCCAAGTCTGTAAGTATCTGATACATTCCTTATTCTTCTTGTTCTTTTTTTTTCTCACTTCCCTCAACAACCTACCACTTCACCCCATCTCAGTCTATCACTAGCATTTCCAGCCTCAGCAGCCAATTACAAAACAGCAAAAGGCCACCATGTAACCTTTTGTGAGTTTTGTTAGAGAAGCTGGAAATGGTCAGGTGTGCACGCCTATATCCCAGCTACCTGGGAGGCTGAGGTAAAGGATCACAAGTTTGAGGCCAGCCTCAGCAGTTTAGCAAGGCCTTGTCTCAAAATAGAAAAATGAAATGGGCTGGGGATGTAGCTCAGTGGTAAAGCATCCCTAGGCTCAATTCCTGGTACGAGAGAGAGAGAGAGAGAGAGAGAGAGAGAGAGAGAGAGAGAGGGGGGGGGAGACCTGGAAATGTGGATTCTTTTGTGAAACCTCCTGATTTTTAAATTATGGAAATTAACATAATTAACACACACACACACACACACTTACACACCTACCAGCCTCTAATCTGCAAATTCTATTCAGCCCGTTCCCTACCCCCAACATTTATTCAATGAGATCCCAAGGACCCATTAATGAGCCTATTCTATTTTTCTCCAAAGCTCCAAACACATGACAAAGAGGAAGAGGACTCCCTAGGCTCATGGAGATCAAGGAAGGAAAGGCCTGCAGAAGCTGCAGCACTATGGGTCTATTTTCAATGACACAGGTAAAAAAAAAAAAAAAAAAAAAAATGTGCTATTCATCATCACTAAAACCCTCCAGTGGTCCTCAGGAAGGGAGCTCCCTCAGGAAGGAGGCTCCCTGCTGGGAATGGGAATGTGGACAAGCAACTTCACCAATATCTTTGGGGATGGCTGCAAAAGACATACAAGCTGGAGTGGAGAAAACCCTAGCTTTTGAGCAATTTGTTTCCAACCCCCATCTCCACCAACTCTCATGGACTTTATCCCTGCCAGCTCCCTCCACCCACCATCACCTCTCCCCAGTCTCCTCCAGGGCTGTTCCTCTCCATTCTGATAGGCACAAAACAGATCTTATTCTTTGTTCACATACGTGTACACTTGAACATACACAGACACATGTGACTCATAGGAGAATCTTAGAATGAGAGTATTGAAATCTGAAAATTTTACCCTTCTYTCCTCTGTGTCTCTCTCTTTTTTTGGTACTAGGGATTGAACCCAGGGGTGCTTAAACCACTAAACCACATCCCCAACCTTTTAGTTTTTATTTTGAGACAGAGTCTTGCTAAGTTGTTTAGGGCCTCATTAAGTTGATGAGACTGGCCTTGAACTTGCAATCCTCCTGCCTCAGCCTCCTGAGTTGCTGGGATTATAGGCATGTGCCACCATACCCGGCTTTATCTCCCCATTTTTTAGATAAGAAAACTGAGATCAGATGTCACCCAGAAATTAATGGCGCCTACTAGACCATCCATTTCATCATTTTCCCCGAAGATTATAAGCTGTTTGGTAAATAATGCTGTCTAACATTGTTCTGTACACAGAGCTATGCTAAGCATACAATAGGCACTTAAGATACTAGTTTAGGGCTRGGGTTGTGGCTCAACGGCAGAGCGCTTGCCTAGCATGTATGAGGCCCTGGGTTCRATCCTCAGCACCACATGAAAATAAATAAATAAAATAAAGGTACTGTGTCCAACTACAGCTAAAAAATAAATATTTTTTAAAAAAAGATACTAGTTTAATTGAACAGAACATAGTCTCTGATATCCCTGAGGGAAAATGGTGCCTCTAAGAAGAGATGATTATGAGAAAAAACATTTGAGTCAAACCTAGCCCATATTATCACAATTCCAAGGATGGAATCAAAGAACTGCAGAACTGGAAATAGAAAGACAAAACAGAGAAACCACACTGTAAATCAGATGTGGTGGTGCACGCCTGTAATCCCAGCAGCTTGGGAGGCTGAGGCAGGAGGATTGAAAGTTCAAGACCAGCCTCAGCATCTTAGCAAGGCCCTAAGCAACTCAGTGAGACTCTGTCTCTAAATAAAATTCAAAAAAGGTCTGGGGATATGGCTCAGTAGTTAAGGCCCCTTGGTCCAATCCCCTGTACCAAAAAAGAGAGAGAACTTACACTGTAGACAGCATGTTCACTATAAGTATTGAGTTCTTTTTTTTTTTTTAACTTTTTGTTTTTAGTTGTAGATGGACACAATACCTTTATTTTATTTGTTTATTTACTTATTTATTTTTTATGTGATGCCAGAGATTGAACCTAGTGCCTCACACATGCTAGGCAAGCACTCTACCACTGAGCCACAACCCTGGCCCCAGTATCGAGTTCTTATTTTAGGAGGAGTGACTACAGTACAGAGAAGTTCCCAAGATCACCAGGTTGGTGAGGTCAGAGGCAGGGCCTGGCCCTTAGTGTTCCAATGCTGGGCCCCCAATCCTTCCCAATCTCACCTTTCAATCCTATCTGACTACCCGGAATCTTTGTTTGGAATGTCTGGGTCTTGTTCCTGTCTGGACCATCTCCGAAGTTCAAGGTGGTCAGTAAGCCCACGACGTGAGACCCTGGCCACTTCCCTGTGACTGTCCCATTCATGGGGCACAGGGTCATCTGTCCAAAAGATCTCAAAAAGGACACCCAGTCCTGTGTTCAAAAGGAGGATGGGAGAGAGGTGAGATGAGATCAGCAGCAGGAGCAGGTCTACAGGGGGAAGGGTGAGCCGGAGRATACTCACCTGAGGGATGTCAGGGCTGCGCAGGCCAGTCTTATGGGTAAGGAGGTAGCCACCAAGGCCCAGGCCCGAGAAGCCAAGAAGCAGCAGGATCAAAGTGGCACAAACCAGAGGTGGGTGGTGGACCAGAAAGAGATGCAAGTTGTGCCCTGCCTGGCAGCTGCCCATGGGGAGCAGAGGGGTATGGACCTCTGCGGAGAGCCTGCGGAGGACAATGGGGGAGAACTGGACAAGAGCCCACTGGTCAGGAGGCACTCACCCATTTTATACAAAGGGAAGCTAAAGCTCAGACAAGACAAGGCACTCGCCCTAAACCACACAGCCAATAAATGACAGGACCCAGACAAGAATCCAAGGGTCTTGACTCCAAAAATTCATCTCTCTGTATCACTTGATAAATATCTGCTGAATTTCACTTYTGAAACAATCAAGGCAGAAGTAGAGCAGAGCATTCTATGCTGGAAAAAGGAGAATGAAAGGAAGAATTCTCAGCCAGAGAAAGGGGAAGCCACTGTTCTGGGATAGTGTTTGGTGAAAGAACAGCTCCAGCCAGAGTATTTCACTAGAAGGTCCCACCTTTGGAGCTACTTGGTMCGGCAGCTCTGCTCATTAGCTATGTAAAACCAAGTCAGTTAACCTCTGTGAACTTAATCGGAGTTTTAAGAACACCAAATCATAGGATWAAATGTCGCAGACAGGTTATCTGCTTTTACTTGGCCACGCAGGTACTCAACAGATGTCTGTTTCCTTTCTCTGCCATTCTGATCTTCAAAAACCAGGTGAGGCAAGGCTAGAATATTTTGAAAGAAACTGAAGCTCTAGGACTTTAACATAGAAGTGGTAAGGCCAGCGTCTGCAACTGGTCTCCTTTCTCCTGCTTCCAAATAAAGTACTCTGTTCCGCACAAGAAGCACAAGAAGCGACAGCCCGATGGGAAAGAACATCTGGAAGTCGAGGAGTTAAATGTATGGGGTGGAGGAAGAAGGAGGGAGCCACGGAAATGCAGGTGTCACCAATGCTCAACTCCTGCCCAGCCACCCGTCCAGGCATTTCTGGAAAGGGAAAAACAGGAGGGGGTAGGGCAGAGCCTTGGGGTCAGCGGCTGGTGGGGCACCTGGGCCTCCCCTCCTCCCCAAAGCCCCCTTAGGAAGAATCTCGACACCCGCATCCCTTCCGGATCTGGCGGTGTCGAGTCGGCCCGCCGCTAGCTCTCACCGCTCGGAGCCGGGCGGAGGCCAGGGCCCCCAGCGACGTCACGCGTGGAGCCGCGAAGGGGCGGGGTCGGCTCCGCGCTTCCCTCTCCCCCCCCACTCCCCGCCCATCCCGCCCCCGCAGCGGGGCTCGCATGCGCAGTGGCCCGTCTCGCCTAAGTCAGGGTGGGGGCGTACCAAAAGGAAACCTAACCGAGGGACCAAGGGGCGGGGACAACTCCGCGGGAGACGAGGAAACGCCAGAGAGGCGAGGGAACTACTGGTAGAGCCATCTTAGAACGCCCAGGCCCCTGTCCCGAAAGACCCTGGAGAGTTTCCGCGCAAATCTCGTCGCAGGCATTTTTCTGTTGTTCGTCCTCCACCCGCGCCAATAGCACGGGCCAGCCGCGCCCAGGTTCCGGGGAAGGACTTAGGGTCCGCCCGGTGGGGTGGGGCTCCCGCTTCAGGACTCGGTCCTTCCGGACTGGGAGAGTTAGAGATCCGCTGCTCTGGCACCTTCGGAATTCTTCAAGTCTGCACCTTAAGTATAGCCGCTGGCTTTTAGTGACTCCTAAGTGCCTAGGAGCCTGGAGCCGCCAGGCTGCACGGTAGCGACCTTCTCATTTCACTTCTGAGCACATGTTAGAGATGAGACTCTCTGACCTGAAATAGCATGACACATGGAGCCAGGAACTCTGGGTTCAAGTCCTGACTCTGTCCATGCCCCTTTGGGAATGGACAGCTTGTCACACTGGTTCCATGGAGGCAAAGCATGGAAAAACATGTGCCCCGTGCCCACTGAGCACACAGCCAGTGGACAAGTACTGAGCATTTAACCGATCTTAACCATATTTTTCTTAAGACAGATACCACACGGTTTCTGTACCACCAATTGCAAAAGTTTTATGGCGCAAAAACCTTTGCATAGATGGTCAAATGATTTTTGCCAAGGGTACCATAATCATTGAGCGGCAAAAAGTCGTTTTTTTTTTTTTTTTTTTTTTTTTTGTGATACTGAGGATTGAATCGAGGGGCAGTCCCATACAGAACTACATCTCCAGCTCCATTCATTCATTCATTCATTTTAATTTTTAGACAGTCTCAAATTGTTGCTGAGGCTGGAGTCTCCTAGAACGTATATAATAGGTGCTTTATAAATGTCATTGATTGATTTCTTTGAAGTTCCAAGCACAGGAAGTATTTTTATCTCAAAGGAAAAATAAACATGACTGATAGGGAACCTTAGAATATAAGTTTGGGAAATATTCAATAACTGAACAAGCTCAATAATAACCCCCTCCTTTGTTTTTCATATGCTAAGCTAAGGCCCAGAGAGGATAGAGACTTACCCCAAGTCCCTCAACCCAGTTAAGCCTCAACCAGAACTTCAGCCCTAGTTTCCTAATACCAATTTCTTTCCCACAAGATTCTGGTTCACTGGGTGAGGTCCGCAGACCATTTGGTCTAATCCCAGTGGTTCTGGAGGCTGAGGCAGGAGGATCTCAAGTTCAAAGCCAGCCTCAGCAAGTTAGTGAGTCCCTATGTAACTTAGCCAGACCCTGTCTCAAAGTAAAAAATAGAAAAACATGCTGGAGATGTACAGGGAGGTTCCCCAGAGAACTCACCAAATTCTAGTCCCATTACAAAGCTAGGAGCACATCTGCCCATGCTTAACCATTTTTGAAATTTAGTTTAAAACCCAAACAGTTTATTCAGTTAACAGTTTTTTAAATGCATGCTATGATCCAGTTACAAAATTAATACCCATCTGGCTAGATCTTTGTCAATTCTTTTATATACTGAGAAGTCTAATTTCAAGGTAAGATAGGCATCAAAGTGCCCAGCATAGTACTGATATACCACAGGAGAGCAACAAATGTGAATTTCCCTCATTATTCTTGTATTGTGAAGTCATTATGCATACTTGGACAGAGTTCTTGTAAATGATCATAATTGATATTTTTATGTGGCTAAACTAAGTAATTCTGTGGACTAGTAGAGGCAAACTGATTAGAACAAGGAATGGACTTGAGACCAGAGAATTCTCATCTACTGCCATGAACAAATGGCTGTTTTGTTTGTTTTGTTACTGGAGTTTGAACCCAGGGGCAGTTTACCACTGAGTTACATTCCCAGCCTTATTTATTTATTTAAGGTACCAGGGATTGAACTCAGGGGCGTTCAATTACTGAACCACATCCCCAGCCCTATTTTGTATTTTATTTAGAGACAGGGTCTCACCAAGTTGCTTAGCACCTCACTGTTGCTGAGGCTGGCTTTGAACCTGGGATTCTTCTGCCTCAGACTCCCGAGCCACTGGGACTACAGGAGAGCCCACCTTTTATGTTTATTATGAAACAGAATCTCATTAAGTGGCTTAGGTTCTTGCTAAGTTGCTCAGGCTGACCTCCAATATGTTAACTCCTGCCTCAGCCTCTGGAGTCACTGGAATTACAGGTGTGACCCATGGCCCTCCCTGTGAACAGATATTTTACAAAGGGAAAAAAGCACGTGCGGCAGGGGGAACAGAAGACATAACGTTAGTTGTACACCTTAACACTCCAATGCTATGTCATCCCTTTTGAAGAAATCCACCCTACAGGCCTTCAAGGTGAATGTTACTATGGAAACCTGCTCTCTAGCCTAAATAATTTAATGAAGGTCACACAGATGGTAGGTGACAGAAGTCGGTTTATGAATCAAGCTTGGCACAGCCTAACCTGTGAGAATCAGAAAGCCAGTTGAGAATCACTTAGTCCCTTAAAGGAGATGGAGGGAGGGTTTCTTGATCATTCCATGTTGATAAATTCCTCCCAGAGCTCTGGCCTGCATAAAGCTTTTCCCAGAGATCTGTTTTTTTGGTTTATTTTTTCCTTCTAGGTTATTTGAAAGGTTGAAAAAAAAAAAAAAAACCCTTTGAGGGGCTGGGATTGTGGCTCAGTGGAAGGGCACTTGTTTAGCATGTGTGAGGAACTGGGTTTGATTCTTAGCACCGCATATAATTAAATAAATAATTTTAAAAAGCCTTGAACTGGGCGTGATGGCACACACCTGTAATCCCAGCGGCTCTGTAAGCTGAGGCAGGAAGATCACAAGTTCAAAGCCAGCCTCAGCAATGGTGAGGCACTAAGCAACTCAGTGAGACCCTGTCTCTAAACAGAATACAAAATAGGGCCCGGGATGTGGCTCAGTGGCTGCGTGCCTTTGAATTAAATCCCTAGTACCTGCCCCCTGCCCCCCCMCCCCCCCCCAAAAAAAAAAAAACTTGAAGATCTGATGAAAGCATTTCATCCAGTCATAAACATCTCTTGGCCACCAGGTTCTATGCTGCAAGCTAGGAATACATTGGTGGGCAAAGTATTTCTGATCCCTGGCCTCCTGGAACTATAATCTGACTATAGACTCTCTGAAGAAAAATGCCTGCTCACTTAAACTTCTACTATTTCAATCAGTAGAACCTCAGTCCTTTTGGAGCCCATACTTGAACAAGAACCCATATAGGTATTAAATAGTTATATCTAAGTTTTTTCTCTGCCCTAGTTTTACTTTAGTTTTGTGTTTAATTTCATATAAAAACTGCTTCATATTTATTCATTTCCCCTTTTATACTTTTGTTGTTGTTGTTGTTGTTACCAGGGATTGAACTCAGGGGTACTCAACCTCTGAGCCACATCCCCAGCCCTATTTTGTATTTTATTTAGAGACAGGGTCTCACTGATTTGCTTAGCACCTCACCATTGCTGGGGTTGGCTTTGAATTCTCAATCCTCCTGCCTCAGCCCCACAAACCGCTGGGATTACAGGCATGTACCACAGTGCCCAGCTTGTACTTGGTTTTTATTCTATGTTGTTCATCCATTCAACCAACAAATCCATTCATTAAACAAACATTTAAACACTTGCTAAATGGAGGAAACCATATTTCCTATCACTGAAGACAGGCTTAATGAAAGAGCCAGATACACAAAGGATTAAGGTAAAATGTCAAATGCCATAACACACAATTAATAACATAATAGAGTGGGGGTGGACATCAGTGCTAGAGCACTTGCCTAGCATACAAGAGGCCCTGGGCTTAATCTCCAGCACTGGAAGCCAGGCACAGTGGCATACACCTGTAATCCTAGTGACTCAGGAGGCTGAGGAAGGAGGGGATCACAAGTTTGAGGCCAGCATGGGCAATTTAATGTGACCCAGAATTGAAATAAAATTAAACAGGACCAGGGATGTAGTTCACCCCAAAGTTCAAGTACTGCAAAAAAATATTTATAATAATAAAGCAATTGTTACCCTCTAAATAGGTCAAACAAAGATCATTGTATTGTCTCGAGCAACTAATAAAAAATAAAAAA